TTATAGGTTTTCATGCTTTTAGTAATATTTAAAACTTTTCATTATTTAAATTATAAATTCCCTGTAGATGACTGAGTATCTTCTTTTTTTTTTTTTTTCATTGTTGTATATTACCTAAAACATGTATGGTACCGAAGAAACAATGCATCTGTAATAATGGTTACCTTAAATGTGCAATGAATTCATATTCCCAACTCAGACACTATCTGGAGGATTATAGTACTGGATGAATTGTTTATATCCTGTTTATCTCTATTCCTGGCATCTTGGTGTAGCTCAGCTGTTTTATTGAGACCTCATTCTTGTCTGACTTAGTGAGGAGAGTCTTTGTGCCAATTTTAGATTCAAAGACAATAGCATTTCTTTGCTATGAATATTCCAGCCATTTTACTTTTATAATAACTTACAGTGAGATTATTGTCTTGAGAAAAATAAAGACTTAAAATTTCATCTATTTTCATTGAGTTGTGTTTAATTTATTCTCATTTCCTTGATTGTTTTTTTTCCAAAAAAAGTATTTCTAAGTTTTCTTCAAGAGTTCTAAGACAGTAGGGAGATCTATATTGAGTACTATTAAAGAAAGTGGCAAAATTAGCATACTTCATAAATTAATTAAGATGAGATAGTCACATAACATACAATGAGATTTAAAAGAAAACTCTTTTGTCATTTGTGGCCATTTCTCATTAGAGTTATCCAGGTTCTTGTAGAGATGCTTGTTTTCAAAATTAAATTATTGTTGCCATGGTGACATGCATTTTATAAATCATGTACAAAGGCTGTCTTTATTTCCACTGTGCACTTGAATAATAAAGAAGATTATTAAAATGAAATCAGAGATTCTAAAGTAGAGTCTGGAAAAATGAGGCATTAAACATGAAAAGCAATATTTCAAAAGAACCCATGAAGAGTTCTTAAGTCTTTCTGGTAGCCTTGGGGTCATTCAGTGAAACTTTGGCTAGCTTTAAGAGTTTTTCTTGAAAGATAAACTATTATGACTAATGGTGAATTGTTCATTGATATTTGACAGTATTGTCAGTTTGTCTGTGTGATTTGGGTTTATTTTCTCTTACTAGGGATGAGTGTGTTGGGGTATCTGTGTAATAATTCAAACAAATTATATACTCCAAGGAATGGGAGTGCTTTACATATTTTCTCTCCGTCTTTACTGTTTTTGAGGTACATGTAGTCTATTTCTATTTCTCTAAACATGAAAAAAAATGATCTCTACTCTTCTTTACAGTCAAACTTACTCTTCCTCACATTAGAGTCAAGCCATGTGGAAAAATGATGTAACATGCCACTATTTAAAAAGTGATTTTCTTCTATTTGCATATTTATCTCCAGTCCCTGTTTTTGTTTTTCACTGTGCTCATTGAGAGGGCAAGGTTCAGATGACAGATATTAGGTCTGTTCAGCTTGGAAAGCCTAAACAGCTTCAGAGAAGAGACCCTGGAAAACCAGTAGCAAGGTTGTCCTCTATTGAGAACTTTCATTAGGAAGACCCTGTATAATTAATTACTGTAACTGGGGACATCATCTCTTTTTCTATAGCCATTTTAATTAGACTCTTTTGCTGTGACTCTATTTTCTATCTTCTGCCTGTGTGTTTTGTGGAATAAAGGCTGCAAATACATTTGTAGAAAACAGCAGGATTGAAGAAATTATAAATATGATGCCACAGGAAGTTCCAACCAAGGGAATTGTGGCCAACCCATGACAACTGATGATTGCTCATAACATTGAGGTTTTTTTTTCTTTTCTTTTTTTTTCTTTTTTTTATGTGAAATCTGAAAGTACCTTCATCTAGGAAGCACGGTTATGTTATGGAGAGCATGTAACTTAATTATGCCTAAATCAACAGTAACAACCCCAGAATAGCAACCACCTCCATGATTGTAAAATATTACATGCAGTTGGTAAGAATGAATACCAATTTGATGGGCCCATCATTTTATTCACTAGATTCAAATGTGTCCATCCCCCATGGCTAGTGGATCTTACCACTCAGCAGGGTAAGGCAGGTGGCCTACAATCACCTTTCCTTCCTGAGTTGTTCCAAAAGCAAAGTACCTCATTCCTCCCACTCTTGGGTTGGTTACAGTGTAATGGGATTGGCCAGGTACCATATGCTGTAAATTTTTACACAAACAAATAAGCACAACTTGAATAAAGAAAATGCTATACAAGGAAGTTAGTTCTGTAAAGATGATGAGCACACTCTCTTTCTTGGTTAAAAAAATAAATTAATAAAGTGTTACAGATCGGAAACTCATCTCAAATAGCCAAGCCAGGGTTAAGAGGCTGTACAAGTGTCAACATTTTTTCAAGCATTCTAACATATTTTTACTAAGCTACCAAAACAATAGATAAATTTAATGATCCTGATACTAATATTTCCAAGTTCAAATTTTTAGATGTATAGGGAACAACTGAGTAATCTACAAAATTCTGTAGTGATGTGGTTCTTCCACCTATTTTTAAACAGAATTCAACAACTTCTACTAGGGAAATGCAGTATTATAAAGTATATTACAAAGAGTGTTTAAGCCTCTATGGCAGATGATCTACAATTCCAAACGCAAGCTATCACAATTCAGCTAACTACATGGGTGTAAATGAGTCAAGCCGGCACTATAGATGCACAGGTGAAAACCACCTGTCTGACCTGAGGTCTTCCACTGTATTGTTTTCTCACTTGTCAATTTGTTCCTGTATACACAGAAACAGAACCTGACAATAATACAAATGTCTCAATATTTCATCAGCACATCACTGAGGACTTTGAGATTGCCATTATTCTCTTCACATGTAATTTTGAAAACCTTTAGCCTTAAATGATTTGATGGAGTTCTGACTCATTGTAAACCATCTAGGCCATGTGTTACCATGGATTCTTAAATGAGAGGGAATTTAGCCTAGAATAAAAAAAAATACAACAATAGTTAAATCTGCTTCTTCTCAAGTCATCTGAGCTTCTTTATTTCAAAGCACTCAGAACTGCAGCATCTTCTATGAGAACAAAATAGTAACCCGTTGCTCTCATTCTCACTGGACTTCATATACCTATTAATGCTGAAGATGCTTTTATCCAATAATTGATAGCCACATAGGGCATTTCTCCAATTCTTGTGCTACATCTTCAGTGGAGAATCACTGTCCTTGTTGCTTGACCCAAATCTTTTTTTCTCTTGATTGTGCAACCTAAGAAGCATGATCAAATCCTAAGCAGACTGATGCATTAACCTCCTGAACTTCCTGGTTGCCAAGTTATGAGTCGTAGGTACTAACAAGGGAACCTGCATGTTTCCATATTCCAGACTATTTCTCCACGTATGGTTGTGTCCCAGAAAAGGGAATATTCTAAAGCTAACATTGCCTATAGGTAAAAAACAGGATATCAGAGAAAATTCATTTCAAGGCAGAAATATGAAAGAACTTCTGTATATTAGCATTTGAGTTTCACAAGCATAAATTACTCAGGTGTTTACCTGGACCTTCAGGCCACCCACGTTTATTTGTTTTGAGTAAGTGTGACAATGTCAAAGTCCCCCTTGCTAAAAATCAATGTGTGGTTCCCAAATGACTTCTATTAGTTAGATAGAGATGATAACTGGTAAGTTAAAATTTCTGGTGAGATTCAGGTTATTATGATCTATTTCCTCATTCTTAGGCAAGAGCTAGAAAGTTCTCCATAGATAGTAAGAAAGTGACCTATGATCAAAATTATATTTGCACACATATGTGGTAGTAAAAACAGTGGTTGACATATGGAGGAAGATTGAGTTAAAATGGCAAAATCTAATCACTGATGAAAACAAACAAGAGGGCTATGGTTATGATTTATATAACCAAACTGACCAAATATGAAGAGGGGCATGGTCTGGATCAGTGGAAGTAGGCTACCTATTCTCCCAGTGCAGACAGCTCTTGAGGAATCTATTTTAAGCAATTATTACTCTTACTCTTTAATTTATTATTAACTCCAATTCTGTTAATTGTAAATGATAAGTATGTATAGCTGATTAAAAAAAAAAGCCTCTGCCTATTTCTCAGATGATCCCACAGACAAGAAGTCAACTAAAAACAACTGCAATCCTGTTTTTGCAGTCACAAAGAACAAGGAAAGCTTAATGTAATTAATAGTAGGCAAGACCCTGTGAGATTGTAGAGTAGTAATGTCAACCAAGTAACTAGCAGAGAAGGTCAATAACCAATACACCTTAAGTCAGAGACGGAAAGGGAACTGCTGTGTAGCATTTTCCTCTGAGATTGAAACCTTCTACACTGCAGGGAAGTTAATTAAGACAGAAAGTAAACAAGTCAAAATAGTTTCTGGAAGTCTTTAAAACTGACCAGTTTCACTATGCTCCTCATTTCCCAAGAGTGTATAAACTGGAGAGAATGCTGAGGGTCACTCTCGGATGAGTCCAGCTTTAAAGAAGACTCTCAGACAAGCCCAGTGCCCTGGAAGGAGCAGAGAGCACTAAGGCAATCAAGCAGCCTGAAAGAAGCAAAGGCCAACGGAAGAGTCTGGAAGGCACTCACCTGCCCGAAGCCTGTTTAGTGTGTCCCAGGTCTCCAGCTTTTGTGAATTGCCACCTATGCTGCTGTGGGCTTTGCCTAGGCAGCTGTCTTGAGTTATTTCTGCTCCTCTACGTAACCCTTAAACTTTACTGCTGTAAATAATTCCAATAAACTCCATTGGTTTATCAAGTTGAACTTGGAGGTTATTTGTGCTTTGGAGTGCTGTGGTTCCCTGTCTTGAGTGAGAAGTCTTCTCTCTCTGTCTGTCTCTGTCTCTGTCTCTTTCTCTGTATGTGTGTGTGTGTGTGTGTGTGTGTGTGTGTGTGTGTGTGTGTGTGTGTGTGTGTGTGTGTGTGTTGTGTCTCCCCAGAAAAAGTTTGTCACACACCAGGGGCCAGCATTTCAACCATCCCTATCTGCTTGGGCTAGGGGAACATAACAACATATAGTATTATTGTGGATATTTTTTTTTTTTCAATTACTCCTGGGCCTCTGACTCCAGAAACCCAGGTTTTTATTTTTGAGCACTCCTGGCTGGAACATGCTCCATAGTAAAGGGCTTTGTTTATTTTAGGTGCTGTGCCTCCGTGGATGATTCAAGAGGAGGAACACAGCTCTGGGAACCTACCAATAGGCCCTTCCTATGAAGAATTTCTTAAAGAAAGTAAGCACACTACCTTCCTATTCCATGCCATTTCCTAAGCTGGCTACAGTGCAGTAGCGTGTGTCAACAGACACACCTACTCTGCAGAGATCATCCAGGTCAACACATTTCCTGTTTGCAGAGGAAAAACAGAAACTGAAGAAACTCCCCCCAGAGCGAGTTGGGGCCAATTTTGACCACAGCTCCACCACCAGTGCAGGCTGGCTGCCCTCTTTTGGCAGAGTCTGGAATAATGGACGACGCTGGCAGTCCAGGTATGTGTCCAGACTCTAATCAGCCACCTCCTAGTATTTTCTATTAATCTTGCTGAGTCTTTATTTCTTTTTAGGCATCAATTCAAAACGGAAGCCGCAACAAGAAACAAACAGTCACGTATAGGAAAAAGCTGAAGGTGCCCAGCCCAATTCTTTTTCAATCTCATGGCCAACAAAACCATTCCAACTATTATTCCTAAAACCAATCCTCTCCAGTTGCCTTTCTTTGAAAACAGAAACACCCATTCATTTGATTTAATAAAGTTTTATTTTTCCAAATGTACAGCTGATTGAACCTGTTCAAGCATCTTCACCAGCAGCTGGGGCATCTCCACCTTTTGTGTTTCTGGTGTAAATTACTTGGGCTCTGTGCTTTGAAACCAGCTTGATAAGTCCTTTACTAAGTAGCTCCTGAAGGGCTGCCCGGGCCAAAGAACCGCGAATCTTCAGTCTCTCGGAGACCACAGCTGGAGTGATGAGCTTGTAGTTGGGAACCTCCTTACAGAGTTTGTCGTATGTAGGTAGCTTTGTCAAACAGGACCAGATTGTTGAGCTTGTCCCGAACTTTGCCTTTGGACCACTTCTTCTTTTTGGCCTTGCCACCAGACTTATTTACTGGGTCTTTGTCTTTTTTGGCCGATTTTCCGGCATCTTTCTTCTTCTTGTCATCCTTGGGCGGCATGATGAAGCGCGGAGAGTGGAGACGACCACTGCAGCCTCCCTAAGATGTCGGAAAAAAAAGCTATTGTGGATATTTTATTGGCTTAATGCGTGATATCTCAGAGAACTAAACAATCTCGTAGCCATTTTCTATCTCAACCTTAGTCTGGTTTCTTCTATAGATCTCTAAAAACCCTTAAACAAAGAAGTTCAATGGCTTTTCCCTCTCTTGGTATTTTATTTCCCTCAGGATTTTTTTTCCATTTTTCCTTAATGTTTCATTTTTCCTTGACTGTATTTTTTGCATTCTCCTTAATAAAGCTTGTTTTTTTTTTTTTTTTTTTTTTTTTTGCTTTATTTACTCACAGAAGTATCCATGTCAGCCATTACTAGATTGATACAATAAATTTGTAATCCACTGCTCCATGTTAAGGTTTGGTGGGTGACCACATGACTCTGACACACTGTGCCCTTAGACTGAAAAAGGAACTGTCACACTCAATTCCTAACACCAGTTCTATCATTCAGTTTCTCCTGTGGCTCCCTCATAAGCCATGGGAAAATACTCGTTTCCGTGTAGCTTGTGAAATGAATGTTCTGCTCGGATCAAACTAGAATTGTGTTAGTGTATCAAACAGGACAAGGCAGTGATTTTAAGTCACATGAGATGCTTTTATAGCTATATAGTGCGTTATATTGGTGGTCCTATACCTGAAATGTGTATGTGTCTGTGGGACACAATTAGAATCGATGGTTAGAAACTTTTGGTTTTATGCGCCCTATTTCTCCTAATTGGTACCCTGTCCAATTAAAGTGGCACAGTTAGATACAGCACATTTGAGGATAGCAGTCAAATTACTTTGCTGCAACTTTAACTTCCCTTTCCTGCCTTTATAATTAGTCTTCATGGTTTGTCCCATCCTTGAGCTGACTTGGGTGTCTACATTTCATTCAAACTTGTGGCAATTTGTTGAGGGATTTCTGTGCCACTTTATGAAATCCTACAGAAGTTCTTGTTTTGCTTTGTAGTTTATCATGAATGTCATTATGGGTAAGAAGTAAACCTTTGGGATTTACAAGCAGCTATGAAATCCTTGCATTTACACAAGGAAGACTTTGCATTTCCAATTATTGATTTGTCAGTTATCAGATTTCTTCGTTAACACATTCCCAATGACCCTAAGGTTATAAACATGCAGCAAGTGGTTGCTGATGGGAACTGCATATTTATCACTATCAGAAGTAGTTTTTCCCTTGGGAATAACATAGCATCTAGTATTAGCCATACTATGTATCTCACTAGGATAGATGACCACAGCATTCCAGAAACTCCATAAACTTTGAGTTTTGAAGATTTATCTGTGATACATATCATCAACTACAATATATAAAAGTATAGTGTCCAGTTAGCTAAATGATTGTAGGAAAGCATCTGTCATGTGCATTAGACCTTCTGAAGCAAGACATTTAGTTATTCAAGAAATTTGTTCTGGTCTAGTATGATCTTTGATACACCATCTCATTTAATGGTGGGTAAGTTGACCATGTTCTATATTGTTAGCGAAATTAATGCATGGCCACATGAGCATGAATAGCTCTGGTCTTAAGATGTCATGAGGATCTTGAATGATCAAGTATTCTGTTTCTATCAGAGCCCTAAAACAAGATAAGGGCTGACATTTGAAGAGCACATATGTGAAAGGAATCTTAAAAAAAATAAATGTTAAATTCAAAGAGATATTTTGGTAGTAGTCTCTATTGCTACTGAATCTAACTCACATAAACAAGAGCAAAGAAAAAGTGTAGTGCAGTGGGGATAGTGGGCCCCTTTCCCCACAAGAGGACCAGTACCATCACTGCATGATGCATGGTTGTTTTTAGGGCCCTACTTAGGAGTGGGTATGTTATGAGTGGCATTAACCAGAAGTAGATATGGCATGTGTAGATAGACAGAGGAAGCATATGCTGTAGCTAAGCAAGCCTGTCAGTTGTTGAGTCTCATTTTGTTGGTTAGCACTTTTAAAGATAATTGTACTAGGGCTGGAGAGGTAGTTCAGTGGTTAAAAGTCAGTTCCTGGTAACCATGTAGATCAGCTTGCAACCTGGTGGTGAATACAGAATGATCTACATTTAATTGCATCCTTAGTTGCATGGTAGTTTGAGGCTACAATGGCCTACCGGAGATCCTGTTCAAAACCAAAAAATATGACATGAAAATCAAAGCCATCAAAAACAACTTTCAAATGCAAACCATACCCTACCTGTCCTGAAAAAGAAGGTATCATTGTCATTTATTAACAAATTCAGATTATCAATGATGTCTTTGATTCTAATATCTATCTATATGAGTTGATTATTAATATATATTAGATTGTAGGATTATTGCATATGTATTTAGGATATTACTAATGCATAAAAATTTAATTTTAATTATATATATATATATATTCATTCTGCCTACATCTCACATTTATATTTGAAGTTTTTATATTCCTTATTTCTAAAGTGCCCATGACTTTAATTTTTATTTTCAACCTGGATATTATTTAGAAAACTGTAGGAATCTCTATGTGTGTGTTTATTTTGCAAATTTTATTTTATCTCACAGTGTCTGATTTTATTTTTTTATGTAAACACTCTAACGCCTTCTTGTATTCTTAATATTTCAGTTTCTGAAATTTAAATGATATTGTTATTACAAATAAAGAGTTATTGTTACTTCATCCTGTCTACCCATCTCATCTACCTATCCACCTTCCTATCTATCCATCCGTCACTCTACTGCGTGCTTATTCCTTGCTGTTACAACAGATCTTCACAAGCTCTGATGCTTTCTTCTTGTGCAGTTTTGAACATCTGTTTGAAAGCAACTTTATTGTTCTTAAAGTCAAAGAATCACCAAGGTTAATTTGTTCTGGAGGATTGAAGGAATTTTTTTTTTTAAGAAATCTTACTGAGCTTCTAAAGACTGTCCATATGCTTTGGCTTCTTGTTTCTCCTCTGTCTTCGAAGTCAGGAACACCCTCTCTTATTCTCTCTCTCTCTCTCTCTCTCTCTCTCTCTCTCTCTCTCTCTCTCCCTTCCTCTCTCTGTCTCTCTGTCTCTCTCTCTTGCTTTTACTCCCACTTTTGTTTGGAACTACACCTCTGTTTATATATTCCATTTTCTGATCCTCCTATAAAGATATAGTCACTGTGCTACATCTGCATAAATCAGAATAATATCTCTATTTACTGATCCTTAAAGAATTTTTCTGCAGTCTTTTATGCCTTTGTAAGTGAAGGTAACATATTTACAGATTTCAAGGAGTTGAATAATGAGTGCCATTATTCATTGTATTTTCAAGAAATACAAACCTAACAAACATCCTCATTATATTTTCTTTGAGGTCATTGTCCTCCGATTTTAAAAGTACAGCTTTAAATTGCTTGTACGTTTTGAATCCTGCCCATGTATTTTACAATGTTGATATTTTCAGAATGGTTCCTCTCGCTTGCACACTCTGTTCTTCTGCTTCTTTTCTTGCTCACTTTTCCTTACTGTCACAGTGAGCTTCAGCTGTCAACTTGACAATCTTTGGAAGAAAGAAACTCAATTTAGGAATTACCTGCCTCAGATCAGCCTGTGGTCATTTCTTTGGAGCACTTTTTAAATGGTAGTTAATGCAGGAAAGCCTGAGCCACTGTGGGCTGTGCCACCCCTAAGCAGGTGGGCATGGACTGTGTATGGAAGGTAATTAAGCAAGCCAGGGAAGCCAGCCCGTAATGAAGTTAACAAACCTTCTCCTCCTGGAATTGCTATTGGCCTTGGTGTTTATCACAGCAGGAGCAAAACAAACCGAGACAGAAATTGGTACCAGAGAGTAGGCATTGCTGCAGCAGACCTAACCATGTGACTTTCACGCTTTGGACTGTTTTATGGGAAGGAGGTGGAGAACTGGGGATTTTTGAGCCGGAAAAACGTATTTAGCACTCAGAGAGAAATTCATGAGCTGTTCTGGAAGTACTTGGGGAATAAGATCAAAAGAAATGCATTGTTAGCCTGGCTTGTGAAGTTTTAGAGGGATGTTTAAAAATCTGTCAGAAACTCTGCTCAAGCCATTTGTATAATCTCTGAACTAACTATTTGTGGTTTGTGTTACTGTAGCTGAAGAATCAGCTATGAGTAATAGGACACCAGCACTACTGTGGTCACTTAAATGAGAATGGCCCCCACAGGTTCATATGTATGAATGCTTGGCCCAGATGAACCCATGAGGACAGATACAGGACAGCGTAAACAAACTTTGCATAGCTTTTGTTTATATTCTGACATTATTTTTCCCACCTGTGTGACTCCTAACAAGTTATCTATTCATTCCATTCCATTCCATCTTACATCACTGTTTCTTTATCTACAAATAATATACATTGCAAAAGTCTTTGGGAAATATTAGATAACATATGAGGAAAATATAAAGAATTTCCTAACTCATACACAATACTAAACAAATTAAGGCTCTTGTTTTTTTTAATCATAAATTTAAACAAATTACCACAGTGTCTTCCAAGTTTTAATAATCTCAAGGACTTTGTGACAAATCTTGCTAATAATAAGAAAGTGACCAAGGAATCAATTGAACTA